CTGGCTCCGTCCCCTGGCTGCCTCCTGGCAGAGCAGCACACTGGCGCCCCCTTGTGCCTGCCTGCCCACAGGCTGATGTCCCTGACTGCCCCTGGGTCTGTCACAAGCCAGCAGCCTTAGCTACCGATTTCATGTGAGAACGTGTGGCAACTTGAGTCCCCGTGACACCCCACTGAAAGGGACTTCCTGCTGTACAAACAGCCCAGACAGTGTTGGAGGAGTTGGACAAGACTAAAACATTTTAGAAAGACAAATCCCAACTTCACCCCCAGGATAACTCCTGTTAACGTGGCGCTTACTTCCTGTGAGACAGTCATGGGTCCACAGGTCCACGTTTTCACCTCCTGCCTGTCGGCCTCCAAGCCCTTCTGAGAGCCAGCGGCGCCTGCAGGCCTGGCCTCCCCACCTGAGAGCTGTGTCACAGGGCACCCCAGCTTTTGGCCATCATTGCAAGGAGGCCAGTGAAGGCATCATGGCCGCACAGCTGGCAGCTGACTGGCGTCCCATTTGTGTCACTCCCCAACCGAATTTATGTTTTCTGAAGTGATCTTTCTGGATGATTCTGTGCAAAGGTATGCTGGGGGCCTACAGGTGTTCCCCGTGTCTGCCCAGCTGCCTTCATGGCCAGTGCCAACCGGGAGCTGTAGGAACAGGCCTCCTGGCCTTGGCAGCCTGCAGCAGGAAACACTTCGTGTCGGAGCAGGAAATCAGAGGACAGGCAGAAGCGTACCAGATCCACCTGTGCGGCACGGCTGCCAGCACACGGGCAGCCAAGGAAGAAGACAGTGCGACTTAGGAGTCACTGTGTCCGCTCATCTTCTGCCCAGTGGCTGCACACAGCGGCCTGGTTGTCATCTTATGGGGTAGCACAACATTCCGCCTAGGAACTGGACCAGTGCCATCCCGGAAGCCCTGTCACCCGGGGATGCTATTGTGCACCCAGCCGATGACTTTGTCATCAGCGCCGATGTTCTGACCGCCGCTGGGGGAGTGGGGTGACAGCTCGGGCATGACAGAGCGTTGTGAGGGCCAGCCAGGCGCTCCACAGTGCTGCATGCCTCGTATAGTACTGGTGTAGCTGCTGTCAGTTCCACGTCACCTCCTGCATCTAACAGGAGCACACTAAGCCTCCGTTTGGGGGAACAGCAGGTCAAGGGGAAGACCCTCCCACACCTCGGAGTGTGGCCACTGGGACAGAGCACAGGTGTGCTGTGGCTGTGAGTTCCTGGGGCAGGCCCAGCAGCACCTGCCTGGCATCACAGGGCCACCTTGGCTTTCAAAGCTCTTCGCTGTGTGGGCTTCAGGTTCCCAGACTGAGAATAAAGGCAGGGAGCTGAGAGACCCGTCAGCCATGGTGTGCTAGGTGGTCTGAGCTGACCCCCACCAGCTGGGAGCAGTGCTCAGCAGGTGTCCATGAAGGCACCTTGGGTTTTGGGGTTCTCTGGGAAAGACATAACTATAGATGTACCTCCTTATGCTCTGCTCCTCCATGCCAGGGTCATGGCTGCCCTGGCCACCATGCCAGGCCCAGTACCCCTCTGTGAGGACAGAGGTGGGAAGAACAGAGAAGTGTTTTTGGTTGTTGTTGTTTTTTTTTTAAGATTTATTTATTTTTATTGCAAAGTCAGATATACAGAAAGGAGGAGAGACAGAGAGGAAGATCTTCCATCCGATGATTCACTCCCCAAGTGGTCGCAACGGCCAGAGTTGCACCAATCCAAAGCCAGGAGCCAGGAGCTCCTCTGGGTCTCCCATGTGGGTGCAGGGTCCCAAACTGCTTTCCCAGGCCACAAGCAGGGAGCTGGATGGGAAGTAGGGCTGCCGGGATTAGAACCAGTGCCCATATGGGATCCCGGCACGTTCAAGGCAAAGATTTTAGCCGCTAGGCCACTGCGCCAGGCCCAACAGAAGAGTTTTAACAAATTTTAGGGAAAGCCTGGAAGTTTTTTTATTTAAAAAAAAAAAAAAATTTTTTTTTTTTTAACCTGAAAGGCAGAATTATGGAGAAGGAGAAATACAAATTTCTGTGTGCTGGTTTACTCAGCCCTGGCCATTGTGGTCATTAGCAGCCAGGAGCCAGGAGCTTTTTCTGAATGTCCTGTGTAGGTGTATGGGCCCAAGGACTTGGGGGCGCACTCTGCTGCCTTCCCTGGCATCAGCAAGGAGCCGGACAGGAAGTGGAACAGCTGGGACTCAAACCAGCTTCCATACAGGATGCTGATGTTGCAGGCGGTAACTTGACCTCTTATGCCACAACAGCAGCCCCAGAAGTGGCTCAGGAACAGCGCCCCTCGCCTCCCTGAGGCCCACTCTGCGGTGGCCTTGCGTGGCCAGGCCGGCCCTGCTGGGCGCTGTCTGGCGTTTGGTCAGAGGCCAGTTGGCTCTCCTCTTGGTGGGTGTGTGGGCTGTTAGTTCCAGGGGCCTTGGTTTCTCCCTGCATGTTTTGCCAGGGAAGCATTGCTGGGCCCCGGGCAGCCCCGACACTGCAGAACTGTGATGGTCATGTGGTGGTTGCCCTCCCCCCAGCAGGAACCAGCTCACCCAGTGCCACTGGGCTGGACTCAGGCTCCAGTCGGTCCTGCCTGGGGGTACTGTCCCAAATCCTAACCTCGTCCTGCTGGCGCTGCTGGAACAAGGTGCTATTCGGTGAGGGCAGCAGCAGGCTGGCCATGCCGGGGGTCTGCATTCCAACCAGTCAGCATCTTGGGGCACTCTCCGTAAGCTGCAACCTAACCTCCATCACCCCATACTGTCAAAAACATGGCTTAGCCCAAACCTGCTGAGGTAGCTCAGCATGCCCTGTGGGACGAAATCGGCACCCCATTAACGTGCGCTAATAGCACAGCGGCCCTGGCCTCTGCAGTGGTGGACACGGAACTGGCACCAGCTCCTGAGGGTGAACTGGCACACCACCCATCCCTTTGGAGTCCTAGAGGACCACCGGGGCCACTGTGTGCAGTCAGGTGTCACGCTGCCCCCTGCTGGACAGCCATTTGCATGGCACAAAGTGGGTGCTGAATCCCAGAGGAAAGACCCCCACCTGGCTGGGGACTTGGGCCACCCTGGGTCCTGCATGCACTTGTGAGGTCTCCTCCAGCTTCCGTGCCCGACAGTTGGCAGCATGGGAAGTTAGTCACTGTTTTGGTCACTATTCAGGATTCTGCAAATCCCCAGCAGCCCTGCAGGCTCAGCTCCAAGCAGTGGTCCCCGTCCCCCACTCCCAGGCACCTGCTAAGAGTGACTATGTGCAGATTCTGCTGCCACACCCCCATGAGCACCCTCACGACCCACAGCCAGGTTCCCCGGGCCCACCCACACCTCCCAGGGAGCTTGGTGGCATCCTATTGAGCTGTCCTTGGGCCGCAGATGTTCTTCCCCGTGGGTCTTCTGTGACTTCACCCACTTCCTCTCTCCCACAGAATGCTGCCAATGGGACAACAAAGCCGCCTTTCCTCAGGTACGTGTAGCACCCCCAGCTCCTCAGGAGACTCTGGCCACTTGAGTCACCACTGTCAGCTGAAGATGGGGTCAGCTGGGCTCCTTCTGGCCCGGAACAGGCCACGGGACGGGGGGAGGGGGCTGCAGTGTGGACAGCCGGGGCTGAGCAGCGCCCTCCCGGTGTGGGCCCTGGGCTCTGAAGTCCCGTCCTGGGCCAGTCCCTGTGCAGTTTTCTCTCCCCACAGTGGAGAAAATCCCTTTGCCACCGTGAAGCTGCGACCAACAGTGACAAACGACCGCTCAGCCCCCATCATCCGGTGAGAAGACGGCAGGGGCTCTCCTGGTTCCTGGGCCGAGTCCTGATGTCTGAGTGCTGCGAAGGGGCCGGCTGCAGGCCGCTTCACCAGAGGGTGCCTGATTCGCAAATCAACGTGTCAATCTGACATAGCTGGGGTCACACATTTCTGTCCTTAAGATATAAATAAGATTAGTGATCAGCTCAATCATTGATTTTTCTTCCTAGTCTCAAAAGCAAACAGTAAACTTGGCTCCAGTACTTACTGTATCTCTTTAGCAACTGGAGGAAGGGGTAGTGTGGGCTTGGTGACTGGCCAAGACCACAGGGCTATCTTTACAGCATGAGGCTGCTAAGTAGTGTTATGTTTAGCTAAAGAAAATATTTTCTAAGTTTGCATCTTTGCATGCAAACCATAAATTTTAAATTATGAAAATATTATATAAAGTGTAATAATTTTTTAACTTAAAATTTAAACTGTTGATTGAATAAATGTAGGGCCACCCAAGACTGGACATTCCCTGCGCTCTCCCGGCAGTGGTGAGCAAGCCGCTCGCCTGAGCCCTGCTGAGGCGGTTCTGAGGAGGACTGGACCCACGCTAGGCCAGCCCGTGGGGCACGAGCAGCCCATGGCGTGCTGACCAGTTTATTCAAACTGAGAGCACAAGTTCCTCTAAGTCTGACCCAGGCACTGACCCACAAACAGAGCTTAAAGAGCCAGCATGACCTGGGTGGTGGTTCGGAGTTAGAGGGCCATGTTTCTGCCTATACGCTATGGCCAGTCTGAGGCAGCCGTCCCAAGCCAGTGGCTGGGCCCCTCTTAAACAGACATGCAGGGGGTGGGTGTGAACGTTGAGGCTTCCTCCAGTGGGGTCCCGACTCGTCCCTGGGAGAACAGACCAGGAGGCACTCATGGGGGACTGCACTGGCACTCCCAGGGCCACCCAGCTACACTGAGGCTCATGCCCCAACCCACGGTCTGGGAGGCAGGTTCAGGAGAACAGGGTCTCGGCTTTGTGCAGGCCCTGGGATTAACCGAGTCCCAGCCCGGAACCATGGCGGTCACTCACCGGGCCAGCCCCACGTCCATGACACTTGGGTGGGTCCTTTGTGAATGTCACGATATGACGCTAAACTTCAATAAACTGGAGTTTGAAAGAAGCACGCCGAGTGGGCTGCCTCACAGTCTCTGCTCGGGGCGTTGGAGGGAGGCTTTGTATGAGCAGCAGACAGGGAGTGTGCAAACCAGACCACAGAACCAGGTAAGTAATGGTACGAATCTTGTTTATTTAAAAGGGTATTTCTCACCTCTCTCAAACTGAAGACTGCAAAAAATAGAAGCAGTGCTTTCTTGGGCTGTCGGGGCCTTGGGAGCAGGGCCCCGGGCTCACATGTGCCTCCTCTAGCCCACCTCGCCCGACCCAACAGTCCCGAAGCTTCATCCATCAATGAACGACTGTACACATTTACATGACGAAAGAGCCGGCCGGGAAGCCGGGGCGTGCCCTCTAGCCGAAGGTGGCGCCACAGTTGGGGCATCTCCGCTTCTTCAAGGCAAAGCAGCAGATGAACCCGAAGGGGAACAGGATGATGGCCAAGAAGATGCCCAGGAAGGTAAAGCAGTCCTCCAGCACCCCAACCCTGCGGAGAGAGAGCACCCCATCAGCACGCACCGGGGGCGACCACTCCAAGTCAGCCCCCAAAACAGATGCTGGTTCCCAACCATGGGGCTGCACTTTCACCCCTGGACCCTGTCCCTCCATGACATCCCTGCAAACAAGACCAAAACCGAGTCACGGCTTTTTCCACTAGGGGAAACCCCCAGACGTGACAGTTTGGGGTGGGATCTCATCTATCTGCCACCTCAAAAATCACACCTGCTCCCAAAGTGTGCAGCCTGGTAAGACGTCGGGGACCCCCACTGCACTCTGCCAGTACACACAGGTCAGGCCGAGGCCCTGAGTGGGACAGCAGGTACCCCATGGCCAGTTCAGAGTCCATCTGCCAAGGCCTGGGACCCAGAGCTGAAATTAAAACTGGAGCCATAACAGCACAGCTCCCCTCTTCCCCTACCCCGCCCCAAGGCTGTTGCTCAGACTCCCAGCATCTCCCCTTCCACCCCCAAAATGTCACAGCACACACACCTGGGAAGGGGAGACAGGAGACACGAATCCAAGGAGCCTCTGCCCGACGGGCAGCTCCTGCTTGTCCCTGCCCAGGGAAGGACCCGCCACATGCATTGTACAGGCATCCCATGCCGCTCAGCCAGCCTCCTGTCTCCAGGCACTGTCCTCAGCATAGCTAGCAGGCCACACCAGGTGAAGTGGTCTGGAAACACCCACACAGGTACATGGAGAGGCAGCAGGTTACAGCCCAGCATGGCTGTGGAAAACCAGAATAGAGCACCCCCAAACTGCCAAGGCCACAGCAGGACTGCTCCTGCCAGCACCTGGGCACACCGGGGAATCGGAGCCCCAGAGCCACCTGAGCAGTGGGACTCGGGCCTCTTCCTCCATGGCAGGGGACCGAGGTGTATGAGAGCCTGGCCTTGCACCCACCTGAGGGGGGCACTAAGCTGGGAGCTTGCCACAGAGAAGCAAACTGAGTAGGGGCATGGGTGTGTGGAGCCGCGGTGACCATGCTGCTGGGATGGGCTTGTCACAGGCACCTGACCTCACCCTCGTCTGGCTGCAACTACTGCCAGCACCTGGGAGCAAGCAGGCATCCGGGAGCCTTTCTCACCTTTCAGATACAGAGAACACTGCCTGGTGTCTGTCTCCTGCTTGGAAGCCCTGGCGAGCTTGGCTTCACCTGCTGCTCCCAGCACCGGGCTGCATGGCTGCATGGAGCCTTAGGCAGCCTTTCTGCAGAGCACCACACGAGCAGGACTCCACAGCCATCCTGCTCAGGACGCCACTCGGCCGAGCTGGGCCGCTGGCACAGCAACCAGGGTCAGGGAGGCCAGGAGACAGCACGTTAACTACCACCTTTGATGCCAGCATCCCCTATGGACACTGGCTTGTATTCTGGCTGCTCCACTCCCTGCTACAGCCTGGGAAAGCCGCGGAGGATGACCCCAGGCCTTGGGCCCTGCACCCACGGGAAGAGCTGGAGATCCATCCAGGGTCTTGAACTTTCACCCTGGCCCAGCCCTGGTTCTTGAGGCTGGAGACTGAACTAGCAAATGAAGGCCTCTCTTCCTCAAATGAATCTTAAGAAGTGACTTGGGCCGCCCTGCGCCACCAACTGTCCCCCTCAGAGGACCGGGCTGTGCTGGGCTGAGGACTCGAGCCTGAGGGCCCTAAGCCAACCCATGAAATCCCAGGGGAAAGTGGAGCGCTCCCAGGGACCTGGAGGGCACAGGCTGGCTGACCACCTTCCAGGCTGCTCAAGGCAGTGAGGAGGCAGAGCTGGGAGTGAGGCCCAGTATGCCAGCGAAGGCGGGCAAGTCAGGTGGCCTGGAGGCTGTTCTGGCACCGAGCACCCCGGCTGGAGGAGCCCTGCCCACATGGTTCCCCAGAGCACCCCAGCACACGTGCCCACGAGAGCTGCCCCTTCCCCTCAAGCCTCCATGAAGACTGCAGAGTTGCACCCACCCTGGAGGAAGCTCAAGACAGGCAGTCACCTGAGGCACCCAGACCAGGGTGGCCTCCTGAGGCCAAGCCCTCCCTCTCCCCTGCCCCCCCCCCCGCAGCCTCTGCCTGTCACATGGCTCTCGGAGGGCCCCAAACAGAGAAGGCGACAGCGCAGAGCAGACCTGCACGTGGTCTGGATCTACTGGGCCAAGAGCAGACGTGCCTCACTGGAGACACACCTTCCGTGGCCAAGCCGGGCCCTCCAGCTGCAGGAGCGGGCTACAGCAGGAAAGACCCCCTCTTCTGACATGAGCAGCACAACCTCCCCTCCAGCAGACCCCGGTGGAAGGATCCCTGCTGCTGGCAAGCAGCCTCAATTCCTCTCCAGCCCCACAAAGCCCACACATGCCTCAGCTGGCTCAGAGTGCCAGCCCAGTATGCCCTGTGCCCACTCTTGTGCAATGTTCACAGGGGTTGGGGGCAGGGGATTGTCAGGGAAGCCAATGGAAGCTGAGGAAATTAGGGAACTAATTCTGAAAGCGCCTGTCACTGTGCAGTCACCAGCAGCTGCTGCAGAGCAGGGGCCGGGACTTGGAGGTGTGGCGGCCCCCACACCCATCTCTAGCAGCAGACTGGCCACTAGGCACTGTTACCACCGCCAGCCTCCGAGAGCCAGGCAGGCAGAGCCTCAGGCCACCCCTTACGTCCCCAAACCTTACCTGTCCCATCATCCAAGCCTCTGAGGTGCCAACTCTGCCACTGGGATGGAAGGGGTCAAGCCTGAGTTCAGACTTGGCCCCCCCACAGCGCAGGGCAGAATCCTGGTGGCTAATCTGTCCCCCAACTTGTCCCTGCTGCCCCTGCCTCGGGCTAGACTATCTGAGGGACAGGCAAGGCCCATTCAGCCCCATCCAGTCACAGGTGGAAGGAGACATCCCTCCTCCATCCTTCAGCTCCCCAAGGCTCTGACACAGCCCCTCATTGTGGGGCCCCCTGCAGACACCAAGCCCTGACACCCTGCTGCTCCCCACAATGGCTTCCAAGTGTCCATACCGCTCACTCAGTGCTGCCCCTGGGCCTCAGGTGGCCTTGGCCTTATCTTCCTCCTGGGTGCCAAGCCCTACACTTCCCCAGCCCCCTCCTGCATCACGGTTACCTCCCCACAGCACCCAGGGGGGACAAGGGCTGGCTACGGGGTGACCACTGAACCGAGCCCCAGCAGGCCCTGGGCAGGACAGGACAGTGCTGCAGGGAGCAGAGCACCCAGCTCACCTGCTGGGCTCAAAGGGGACAGCCAAGCTGGGCCACTGGAGCAGGAGGCGGCTCGGCCAGGATGGCAAAAGGACAGGCGGCAGCATGGGCCTCACTCAGAGGTTACTGCAGACGTGTGACTTGGGCAAATTCCTGCCAGGCCATTGGGGAGGGCAGAGACAAAGCCAGGCGCGCTAGATATGGAGAGGGAGGAAGTGTGGTCACGTGACAAGCAACTGGTCTCCCCCAGGGCAAACATGCCAGAGCCCTGCTGCTCTGGATCACACACACCCACCCCCAGCCTCTCCCGGCCTGCTGCAGCAACTCAGCCCAGGGCGGCACCCACCCCTCTGCTGGAGAGGCACCAAGGGAGTGCAGAGGGCAGGGCTGGAGGCCACCGCAACAGGCTGAGACGGAGGACCCTGCTCCCGGGGCAGGGAACACCAACCCTGTCCCTATGCCAAAAGCCTTAGGGAGCCTGCCTGGTCTCTGAAAGGACACAACCTACACCCTTACACAAAGCTCTGATCAGAGAAGCCGCTCCAGACCTGGACCCTGACCCTGACGCCTGGAGCTCCAGGGCCCTGGGAGAGCAGGCCACTTCCGGCCTCCTGCAGCCACCTGCTCCCACCCTCCAAGTTCACGTGCTTGAGCTGGCAAGAGCCCCCACCACAGGCCTCCTCATCAGACACCCACCACAGCCCGCCCAGGTGTGGGAATGCCTGGCACCAGCTCATCTGGTAGCCAGGGACCCAGGGGGGCATAGGCGAAAGGGGCAGCAGTGAACTCCCAGCCAGGCCTGATCCTGCCCCACAGCCCTGTTTAGACCCCAAAGACCACTGGGGCTCCCCTGCTAGGGATGGGCCCTGGAATCTTCTAGCTGGAGCGAACAGAGCTGTGGGTGCCAAAAGCAGTCACAGCTGCTAACAGTCTCCATTTCCCACTAGCTCCTCCAAGTTCCCAGGCGGACCTCTGCCCAGCAGGGCAGGCTGCAGCCTCCCCCAAACACCCTCACCAGGCCTCGAACCCCCAGCCTCCAATCCTGCCTGTGCTCCCTGGCTGCCAGCTGCTGAACAGGTGAAGTTTGCTACCCCGTGGGCACTCTGCAATCCCAGCACCACACACTCCACTCCCCTGCCCTGGCAGTGCTCCCCTCCCATCTGGCTGCCCCCACACTCCATCCGGGGGCCTTACAGTGGACACTTAGGTAACGAGGGCCAAGCAAGGGTTTCGCCACTTGTCTCCACTTCCTTCCCCTCCTCACTCCAACAGGCCCATCTCAAACGCGAAGCACCTCCTGGTGCCAAGTCCCACTGCAACCTGACTCCTCCTGCGGGGGAGCTGCACCCAGCACTCACAAAGTTTCTGCAAGTTGCCACACACCACCCCAATAGGACCCCGGACAGAGGAACGCCTGAACCAGCTGACCTCCGCCTCCGCAGACACACTGGCCACTGGGTTGTGGGGCGTCGGAGAGGGGTGTGGGGGGTCTCTTGGTCCCTCTTTCCCCCGACTCCCGGCCCGACACAAACCTCACACCAGCCTCAAAAGCCAACTTGCACAAACGAGACACACCTGGTCCTCCACCGGGAGGGCTGCCCAGGACGCGCCCCCTCGGCCCCCGCCCGGGGAGGGGAACCCACTCCACGCCCCAGCCCCGAGGGGACCCCGTGGCCTCGGCGCGTCCCAAGGCGGCGCGCACTCACCTGCACACCGGGCAGCCTCCGACGACCACGATGGAATTGGCGGGGTAGCGGGTGACGCCCCGGCTGTGGATGTTGTAGACCCTGGGGTGCTGCGTGGGTAACCCTGCAGGCGGACGGAGGGGGACAGCGCGTCAGAAGGCCCGCTGGAGGCCGCGACCCCCGACCCTGAGTGCGTCTCGAGGATACAAAGTTCACTCGGAACAAGGCCCTGGCCACGGCACCGGCCCTCCACTCCTCGCTCCCTCCGCGCCCCGCGGCCAGACCCACCTGTGACGAGGTAGGGGTAAGGCGGCGGCGGGGGCGCGGTGGGGATGGCGCCGTAGCCGTGCGGGCCGCACGCGTATTCGCCCTGGCCGCTCTCCAGGTTGTAAGGCGGCGGCCGGTCCTGCAGCAGGGGCTTGTGGTCCATGGCGGTCCGGCCCGGCGGTCCGGCCCCGCGCCCGCCCGGCCGGTGGCTCGCCCGGCGGGGACGGGCACAGGGACGGCGACCCGGGCGCACGGGGGGTCTCCGGGAGGCGCGACGCCGGCGGGGACGCGGAGGGGACGGGGACGGCGGCCCGGGCGCACGGGGGACCCCGGGAGGCGCGACGCCGGCGGGTCCGGAGGGCACGGGGACGGCGGCCCGGGCGCACGGGGGACCCCGGGAGGCGCGACGCCGGCGGGGACGCGGAGGGCACGGGGACGGCGGCCCGGGCGCACGGGACCCCGGGCGCGACGCCGGCGGGGACGCGGAGGGCACGGGGACGGCGGCCTGGGCGCACGGGGGACCCCGGGAGGCGCGACGCCGGCGGGGACGCGGAGGGGACGGGGACGGCGGCCCGGGCGCACGGGGCCCCCGGGAGGCGCGACGCCGGCGGGCGGGGCGGGCGCGCGCCGCGGGCTTCCCCGCCCCCTCCCCCTCCTCCCCGGTCACAAGACCGGGATCACGTGGGTGGTTGGCGGCGAGGGCGGGGCCGGACGGCCGTCTTAAAGGGACGGCCCCGGCCGTGGACCACCCTCTTGGCGGCCCTCTGACCGCCAGCAACGGTCTCCTGAAACGTGGCCTTCAGGGCCCGCCGTTTCCCCTCTGGGACCACCTGGGCACCAGCGCGGTCCTTCCAACCAGCACCCCCAGCACTCCCCCAGCTCCGAACACGGGGACCCCTGCCCTCCTGGGGTCCGGCATGGGGGGAGGGGGACGCTCGAGTCCGGCCCAGGCAGTCAGTTTGCTGGGGGCAGGGGAGCGCCCTTCCCCTCCGTTTCCTGTTTTGTGAATTAGGTGGTTTGCAGAGGGTGTGGCCAGCACCTCTCTCGAGGACGCAGACCTGCCTCCTGGGGACACCTGCGGTGCACCCTTGGTCTACCCCCCAACCCCCAGCGCAGAGGAAGGCCCAGAGCGTTGCACCCTGACCTGGGCGGTGTCCAGATGCACTTTGGGTCAAAATGAAAAGGCCGCAGGAGGGGGTGGAGGGGCGAGGCGCCCCTGGGGCTGCCTCTCCATGCACCCCACCTTTGGATCCTGCTCTCAATGCCCACAGTTCCTGCCCAGGCGCCCAGCTTTCCCAGCTTAGCCTGTGCCGCAGGAGAAGCGGCCCCAAGCCATTCTCACCCGGCCCTCCTCCCTCTTCCCTCGCAGAGAGGCCGAGAGCTTGGCAGAGGGAAGGCGGGACCTCTGTGGACCTCCACCGCCCTCCCTGACAGACCAGCTGAAGGCAGCCTGTTCCCCACCCCCTCCTATCAAATTCACTTGGCTTTGATGGATCTTCCAATCTGGTTCACTTCCCAGATGGCTTCAGTGGCCAGAGCTGAGCCAATCCGGAGCTTGGAGCTTCCTCTGGGTCTCCCGCACGGGTGCAGGGTCCCAAGGCTTTGGGACGTCCTCCACTGCTTTCCCAGGCCACAAGCAGGGAGCTGGATGGGAAGAGGAGCAGCTGGAATATGAACCTGTGCCCATATGGGATCCCATTGCTTGCAAGGTGAGGATTTAGCCACTGCATCATCACACCAGCATGGCCTGGGTGACTGAAACCGCGCCAGGTCCTCAGCCCCATCCCCAAATCCTGCACCCCCGCTACAGTGCCCCTTTATGGCTCTCTTGCGAATCCCACGCTTCCTGGATGTAGCTGGAGGAGTCTCCCGGACAAGTTCCTGCCCCCCACCCCTTGTTTATAGGGCAAGATGGGACCTGGTCCTAGCCCAGGCTTCCCACACAAGCCTGGGGAAGTGGGATGGAGGTAACAGTGTACTGGGCGGGGGGAGAGCTGCTGCCACGCCAACATCCCACAGCAGCGGAAGATGGCTCAGATGCTTGGGTCCCAGGGGAGAGACCCGGATGGAGCCCCTGGTTCCCAGCCTATGCCTGACCACTGGGGAACAAACCAAAGATGAACGGTTCTCTAATTCGTTCAAATAAATAAGCTTTTTAAAAAATGACATAGGGGTCGGTGAGACACACACACACACACAAATATAGAAGCTGTCAGGCAGGGAGCCACTAAGTATATGGGCAGCCAGCAGCAGGGCCAGGGCAGGGCCTGGCTGGTGGTCTCTCAGGGCAGGGCCCTGTGGGGCCAGTGGACACAGCAATTGCCCCTAAGCAGGCTAGCTGCTGTGCTGGGCGCCTCCTGGGCCTGGCCTTGCTGGAGGCAGTGGGTAGGTGGGGCCCAGGAAAGGTGGGGACCGGTTGAGAGTAGAGATAAAGAATGGGCAGATAGGAGAGCTGGCAGGCAGTTCAGTTCCTCTCCGCACCCTGCAGAGGGAAAGAACCCCGAGGCCCAGCTGGGGACTGTGGACTTGAGCTGCCCCCGTCCCAGGGTGACGCCTACAAGCCACTGTGGGAGACCCCCGCACCAAGATGCTCTGGAAACACCTGCTTCAGTGACGACCACGTCTGGCTGGCCAGCCTGGATGCATCCAGGACAAACAGGTGGGGATGGAGGTGTTACAGAGGAGCAGGGGCTATGCTTGGGGGTGGGGACTGAGACATCCCAGAGGCTGTGTCTGGTGGGCCCGGTGAAGAAGGCACTCTCTGGTTGAGAGCGTGTTGTTGAGGGACAGCTGCAGGGGGCTGGGGCTGGGGGGAATGACAGCTGCCGGAATGCTGTGGACAGGGGCTGGGGCTGTGTGCACTGGGGCCTGCACCTGGTGCAGGCAGGTGGAGGATTTGGGGGTGTGGGGAAAGGGGAACCCCCATACTGACTGGGTTGCTCCCACAGCTGAGTGAGGTTGCAGGAGGGAGGAGCAGCCAGGAGGCAGCTTGGCCAGAAGGGAGCAGCTCAGGTTGAGAAGCAGGTGATCTGCTCTGCAAAGCCCCACCCACTCCCAACACTATCCCTGCAAGAAGACACCCTGGGAGAATTCCCCCTGCTTGGTGCTACCGGGTCTGACTACAGCAGGTGCCAAAACCCTGGGAGGAAGCCTGCCTTTTTCACACCCGGCAAAACCTTTATCCAGGAAACGAAGAGGAGGGAGGAGGGAAGAAGTGAACCCCACTCCTTACATAAGAGCCCCAGTTTGGGGCTGGCGCCATAATTCAACTGGCTAATATTCCACCTGCAGTCACCAGCATCCCATATGACACTGGTTCTGGTTTGTGTCCCAGTCACTCCACTTCCCATCCAGCTCCCTGCCTGTGGCCTGGGAAAGCAGTGGAGGACGGCCCAAAGCCTTGGATTCCTGCACCCGTGTGGGAGACCCGGATGAAGCTCCAGGCTCCTGGCTTTGAATCCGCTCAGCTCTGGCCAGCCGTTGTGGCTACTTGGGGAGCGACTCATCAGATCTTGCTTTCTGCCTCTCCCCTCTCTGTATATCTGACTTTGCAATAAAAAATAAATCTTAAAAGAAGTGAGCCAGCAGATGGAAGACTTCTCTGTGTTTCTCCTTCTCTCTGTAAATTTGATCTGCCTTTCTGATAAAAAAATAAAAAGAGAAGGAAGAGAGGGAGAGAAGAGAGGAAGAGAGGGGAGGGAAGGGAGAGAGAGAGAGGGAGCCCCAGCCTCTCCCAGGACCCTGCCCAGCTTGGCTGCCAGGCGGCCTGTGCCCAGGCTGAATGGCAGAACATTCTTGCAGAAAACTTCCTGCCTTGCTTAGCACCCTCTCTCAGTTCTTTTCTGTGCACCATGCATCTCTGTGGGCAATGCCAGACCCAAAATGAGGCTGGCCGGCCCCTGGCCACCTCAGAACGCCCCCGCCCCAGCCCAGTGCACTGCACTAGTGTGTCACCCTGTAGCTCACGGTCGGGGCTGTCCCGCCCCGGGAAAGCAGGTGCTCACAGCCCCAGGCACTGGAGAAGGAAAACAAGGCAGAGCGAGACACCCCCACACTTTCTGTGCATATTTGCAAAGTGCTGAAATTGCATTTTTAAAAAAGATTTATTTATTTAAAAGGCAAAGTTACAGAAAAAGAAGAGACAGAGGGGTCTTCCATCTGCTGATTCTCTCCACAAATTGCCACATTGACCAGGGCTGGGCCAGGAGCCAGGAGCTTTCTCTGGGTCTCCTACGTGGGTGGTTGCAGGCTTCCAAGGAGTTGGGCGATCCTTTACTGCCTTTCCAGATGCAGTAGCAGGGAGCTGGATCGGAACTGGGGCAGCTGGGACTGGAACCGGCACCCATGGGAGAGTCAGGTATTATAGGCAGTGGCTTGGCCAGCTAAGCAACTGTACCAGGCCTCTGAAATTTACCTTATCTGCTTATGAGGGTATTTCAAACAGTGGACAAGAAATGGAATTACAGGGGCCTGACGCAGTATCCTAGTGGCTAAAGCCCTCGAAGAACCTAGGTGTTTTCTGCTTTTGTGATTTCTGCCTTACTTGCTTGGCTGGGGGCTGTGTCAACTCCAGGCCTGACAGTCTATGCGACACCCGGCAGGGCACCTGGCAGGGCACGGAGGCAGAGCACTCCTCAGGGAAGGAAGTCCCTGGTGTTTGATAAGACCCACAGCCCTATAGCTCATCACTTTCTATCTTTTGAAAGCTGTTTGCTTCAAACCCACCAATAGAAACCTGCCAGCTTGCTCTTTTTGAAAGTTAACAGTTAAACTGACCAATCGTGGCTGAAGATAACATGGAATTGACCTGAAATGTACAAGAACCCTGGACTGTTCAACCTCACCCTCTTTTTTTCTGCCCTGCTGCTCCTGCTGCAGCCTCAGTGCAGCTGCCCCTTCCCTCAGCCCTACTGGACTGGGGAGGTTAGCTGGGAGACCTAGGGTAACCTGAACAAATCACCTTTATGTGTTAGCAACGACTTCAGACTTGATTTTCTGGGAATCTCAAAATCTGGCACAACACCCTCACCTTGCACACACCGGGATCCCATCTGGGCGCCGGTTCATATCCCAGCTGCTCCACCTCCCTTCCAGCTCCTGCATGTGGCCTGGGAAAGCAGTCAAGGACGGCCCCGGCCTTGGGACCCCGCACCCGCGTGGGAGACCTGGAAGAGGATCCTGGCTCCTGGCTTTGGATCTGT